TTCTCAAGATCCACATGAGTGAAAACATAGGATATCTGTCCTTCTCTGACTTATTTCACTCAGCATAATACCTTCCAGTTCCATCCACATTGCTGCAAATGGCAAGAGTTCATTCTTTCTCATTGCCAAGTAGAATTCCATTTTATATATAAACCACATCTTCTTTATCCATTCTTCAGTTGATGGACATTTAGGCTCTTTCCATAATTTGGCTGTTGTTGAAAGTGCTGCTATAAACATTGGGGTATATGTGCCTCTATGCATCAGCACTCCTGTATCCCTTGGGTAAATTCCTAGCAGTGCTATTGCTGGATCATAGGGTATATCTATTTTTTAATTTTTTTAGGAACCTCCATACTGTTGATTTAGTTTTGAGAGAGAGACAGTGTAAGTGGGGGAGGTACAGAGAAAGGGAGACACAAAATTCGAAGCAGGCTCCAGGCTCTGAGTTGTCAGCACAGAACCCAACACGGGGTTTGAACTCATGAGCCATGAGATTATGACCTGAGCTGAAGTTGGATGCTTAACTGACTGAGCCACCCAGGTGCTCCCTAAATTTTTAACTATATAGCATTATAGGCAGTAGATTCTGGGCCTCTCTTATTAATGTTACAAGGTACTTCATGGCTAGTTTTAATACTGTAAAGCCAGTAGCATTAATACTTTAGAGTCAGGGTCAAAAAAACAGGAGACCTTCTGTGCTGTTGATAACTTCTCACCAATGCCCTTAAGACAGTACCACCAATATGCTATATCTTTTGTAAACACTGCTTCTGAGTATTTGAAATATGTTTGAATTACATAGTGGAACCATAAGTGAGTGCTTTATGTACATGGAATAGACTGCTGCTGTCAAAAGTTGTGAATTCCACATTATGTAAATAATAGTCATACCTATCTCTGCCTCCCTTTTTAAAACATTTTTCTTTTTGTAGTATTTCTGCAATTTTTAGTCAACTTCATGAATGATCTATGAAGTAGTCTATAACCTTTCAAGATATTTAACTATGCATATAGAGTATGCAGCCTACATTTAAGTAATCAGAGATGTCTTTATACATGTCCTCTAAATCCACTCCTATACACATAATCTAAATCCACACCTGTATCCTGTCTTTCCAGGCTTTACTCAGCTCCTCTCCCACATTTATAGAAGATACACACATACTCAGTTGTGACTCTGTGTATACCATTGATTTGAATGACAACTAGATGAACCCCACTTTTTAAATACACATGCACACACACACATAAATTTTTGTAAAAGCAGGAACTATGAAATAAGCAAATAGTAATGAACTGATGCTTCTCTGAAATGCCATCCTCAGTAATAAAAGCATTTTAGGGAAGAAGAATTTTACTTAATCTGTTTCAATCCTGTTCTGTCTCCTTTTAAATACATCTCCTGTCAGGATTTACTGGCGCACAAGACAACCTCTTCCATATTTGGAACAGTGAATTTTTATTAGGATGGAGTTTAGCTCTTCAGTTTCTTATATGCCATCTTTTCTAGAAACCAAGTCTACTTTTTTATATGAATGCTACCCAGAACTGAAAATACTAAACGTTATCTAACTAGACCAGGGAATTCAAAAAGTTACCTTTTTTATCTAGATTTTGGATGCTGTGCGTGTGTTCTTGGCAGGCAAGACACGCGGCTCATTGATATAGGATCCACTAAAGTCCCTAGATTCTTTTTCTAGATAAACAAACCAAGGAAATATCATGTTATAATGTTATAAACTTTTACAAACTCATTTTAATGGTTGCATTGAGTGTATTTAGCACAAATTTACTTTTTGACTTTATTAGATGTGGGCTATGTTTTCCATTATGCTGTAAACTCAACTATAGTGATTATTTTTATGAATAAAACTTACTCAATTTAGGATTTCTTGATTTAGCTTAGATTTCAAGAAGGTGAATGACTGTGGGAAAATGTAATAGATTTTTAAGGTTCTTGATTTAAATTGACAGTTGACACTTTCCAAGCAGGATTACCAATAAAACTTTTAACAGTTTCACTATATTTGGTATCTTTACTTGGAAAATAACTTGCTTTTGTAATTTGTGTCCCTCACTTTTATTAAGCATGGATTTTAGAGAGTTTTATTTGAAGAGGCTTTGCAGGGAAATATATAGAACAAGAAAATGAAAACTCTAAGAAAAGGTCAAATGTTTTAAAAACATGGGAATCTACTCCTGAAGCCAAGAACACACTGTATACACTGTATGTTAGCTAACTTGACAATCAATTATGTTTAAAAAAAAAATGAAAAAATAAAATTAGAATTAAAAAAACAGGATTTTACATGAGACTGTATTTTTTTTATTATGTGTTTTTGTTCATGCATCTTTTGCATGGGAACTCATTTATAATTAAAGTTACCAAGGCAGTTCCATATGTACATTTTTCCTTAAAGCATGAACTTTCGAGACATCAGGAAAACTTGTAGATTGCTGTGTAGGTTAGTGTTAGAAATTGTTGCTAAGCCGGAGAACATTCCTGTGCATGTGCTGCCACAGTGTGTTGTTGCTGGGAACTGCACCTTTCTTTCACAGCTACAGGCTAAATTTGAGCACCTTAAAAGAGTTCACCAAGAAGAGAGAATGAAGCTTGAAGAAAAGAGAAGACTCTTGGAAGAAGAAATAATCACTTTCTCAAAAAAGAAAGCTACTTCAGAGATATACCAGAACCAGTCCTACATGGCATCAGGCAGCAACCTGAAGAAGGACAAAGACCGTAAGAAGTAAGCCATCCCCAACTCCCTGACTCTGGTGGCCCAATTCCTCCATTACTTTCTTTCTCATTGCCCTGTTTGATCTTCATTGAACTTACCAGTTTCCTTATTCCTTGTCAACCTCTTGTGATTAAAATATCAGCTCCTTGAGAGCAGAGACCTGTCCCTTTTCTTCACTGCTGTTTCTGCAGCATCTAGAACAGCACCTGGTACATATTAGGTGCTCAGTAAATATTTGCCAAAGTGAGCAAATGAATGAGTGAAAAAAAAGTATCATAATGTAGAAAGGGTCAGCTACCTGGGGGGAAGAATGGCTGTTCTTATTTTGTCACCTAGCCTGTATTTCTGATAACTGCTGACTTACCTACTGTTGGTTATATATATTTTGAATTTCATGTATATACTTTGTTGGGGAATCATAGAAGTAAAGTAATACGTGATAAAAGACCAAATTCTTAGGTTCTCTTTTTTTATTTTACAAATTCTACTGATAATGATTTTGTGAGAATTTTTATTTTAATAAGGGATCCAGGCTATCGATTTGAACTCCTGTGCTTTGATGTCAGAGCTTGTGAAATCAATGGTGGACGTAAAGATGCAGAGGAAGGTAGAGAGGGCCCCTGTACAATGGGGTGGCCATGAGTAGCATTTGGATGATAATCTCAAGACTTATAGGTTTGGGGTATGTGTTAAAATCAAAGTTACCAACATTTTAGAAAATAAGATTTTTTTTCTTGTCTATATTTTATGTCCTTTATTTCTCCTACTTAAAATGCCCTTGTCATTTTGGCTAGTTGACTGTTCTTGAAATTCATCATTAACCTGTTCTGTTGAGAGTGCTTCTCTGTGACTCTTTGCCTTAGTTTATTCCAGCTGCCTCTGTTTTGGCAGCATCCAGCTCTCCTTATGTTCCTCACAGAGCAACATTTCTGATTTAATTTTATCATCATATCTTATTTCAAACCCAGCATTTTCAGAATATTGTGACTTACTTCAAATAATTAGGGAAACCTAACATTGGACCATGGGGACTTTCCAATTTTTAAACTATGGAGAAGTAAATCCACAGGGTTTTGGTGGATTTAGCCGACCTGTGGATTTTATAGTTTGGGGAGAAGAAAGAAGGAAGGAATTCTCATGTGTGATCCTTCCATATAAACTTTACAAGGGCATGGATCTTTGTTTTGTTCATTGATGCATCCATGTCCAGAGCCTATAACAGTGCCTGCTATATAGTGGGCATGCAATTACTTGTCAAAAAAATGTATATGATTTTTAATAGCTATTTTTATTCAATAATTGAATTTCAAAAGATAAGCTATAAATATAGTTTATTACTGCTTTGAGATATGCTTTGAATTGTACAGTTAAGGGACCTTTTACCTTCTTATCCTTTCATCTTAATCCAGTGTTACTAAAATTGGATTCCCCAAGTTTATTCCATGTATGAAAGACAGCTTACATTTGCTTTGTAAAAATTGTCACCCTGCTCCACTTAACAACCATTAGTGTGTGTTCTTGTTTATAAAGTAAGGGCAAAGCCCATAGTTTTTTGAGAGCTCAGAAGAATTAATATTCAAGAAAATAGAGTTTGATGAGGTATTTTTATTTTTTCTTTTCCAAAGTCCCATAGCTAGATATCCTATAGTATATTAGATGTATATTTGCTCTTTCTGTAAAAGCTTTGTAAAACTAATGATTTTAATAATTTTTATTTCCTATATAGTTTTTTATTGTACCAATCAAAAGGTTTTTTTTCTCTTTGCAGCTCCAATTTTATGTAAAACAAAGGTTCCAGATCATAGAAGGTCATCACAAGCAAAAGTTATTAAAATGTTAGAAGTATGCTCTGATTTTCTTGCTGTTTTTATTTTCTGTATCACTTATTCTATATCTGGCAAATTGCCACAAATGGCACTTAAATGCTTTTAAGTATAAAGTTAATATATAAGCCACAGTGAATGATATCACTTATATATTCACTGTTGTTAGAGGTTTTCAAGTTGCTGGTTTGTGATGAATGTAGATCATTTTTCCTGCTGCCTGGTTATTGTCACTTACATGCATTGTACCATGGAGCAAAGTGTCAGTGACATTGAAAATATAGAACTCATTCATTGTATGGCTATCTGATTGCATTTATATTCCAAGAGGAACTCCTTTTTTGTACATACCAAAGGTAAAATTTGGGAAATATGTTTTAAAATGTATTATATACCTGAAGCTCTAATCTCTTAATAGTTTTATAGAAGTTTTTAATTTTTGTACCATTATCCAATTGATAACATGATCCTACGCTTTTGTATGAAATTATGTAACATGATGGCCTTCTATGCTTCACTATACCTTATTGTGGTTGAAGTATTGTTGTAATGGAGCAAGATATGTTTGAAAGTAATAACATCTAGGTATAAATCCCTTTTCTAGTGATGAGTACCTTTGAATCTGGGGTGTTGCCACTCTATTTCATTAGGATATTTTATATGTTTAAAACTGTCTTCCAGGGGAAAATATCATAAGGTTGAATTGTCTTATTAAAAATATTTCTTAAGAAAATATCTGTCAGCATCTGAATATTAAAGATATAAAAATTTAGATAACTCATATATTGAGATATTTGAATTCAGTGCCTTCATAGTATTCTTAGAACAATTGGATGCCTTCTAACTTTTTCTTAACAGTCATAGATAGGTATATAATTTTTCACTTTTGTACTTGAATATCCTAAATAAAATATCCTCTTGACAAATAAAATATATCTACGTATTTACTAAAATTGGTTTAAAATTACTTTAACTTTTCTTTTTGCAAACTGTCATCTTAAAGAAACATTTTGTCAAAATTAGTTCATTTAATCATGTGTTTGAATTATTTTAAGACAGAGATGTATATTACCAGTATTTTTCAGAAAACAAAAGGTTTTACTTAGCCTATGTCAGATTCTGAGCAGTGTATATTTTCATGAAATTGTATAAGTTGCAAATAAAACCTTTCATTTCATAGCATAATTTATCAGAACAAACACCTTAAATTCCAGTTTTGCATTTGAAATTCACAAATGTCTCTTAGCCTTTTAAAACATTAGTAAAGTAAGTTATAAGTATCACAGAAAAAGCTCTGAACTTTCTTCTCAGGATCAGTAATGCCCAGGTTCTGGAAGGTGGGAGCAAGAGAGCCTCTGAGTCCATGAGGGCAGGTAGCCTGTTGTACGGAGCCCAGCTGGAAGGTGAGAGCAGGAGAGCCCGTGAGTCCCTGAGGGCAGGTAGCCTGTCGTACAGAGCCCATCCACTGCCACAGCACTGAGCGTTAGCTGAGGGGAGTGTCATCCTGGAAGCTCAATTATGTAATGTGAGTGCTGGTCATCTGTAGTTTTATTATATCAAACTATGTATTAAACAGCTATCCTCAACTTTAATAAAGTAAGTTTAAATGCCAAATTGGTTGTTGGCAATGTTAAAAAAAATTATTCAATTTTCTAGTTGAAAAGATTATGGAAACCTGCCTAAGACTCTGAACTTAGCAGAAGGGTAATCATTTATTACTACTACTGACTCTGCTGTAAGCAAGACTCACCACATGTGCTTCAACTGACAATGTGATCTTTAATTTATTTCATTTATTTGAGATTCAAAAGTTTTGAGAACAAATACACTATAATGTTCATGTTCTTCTTACAAACCTGATTTATTCTTCACTATCCAGATGCAGGGTTACAAAGTGAGTTATGATCCAATGAAGCTTGAATTAATAAATTCCCTGGGAACAAAATAAAGCTAGACATGTTTTGGTAATTTGTTTTCCATAAAGCATGTGGAACAATTACCTCATTATCAACCATTAATCTTTACATACTTGTCTGATCTTTAAAGCTTTTTCACATAGACTATGATTTCAGCTTCAGAAAAACACAAAGGGGGAAAAAACATTACAGGGACTATTATCCCCTTTTTGAAGAAGAACTCAATTTAGGCCCCATTTTCCTATTGAGCTAGGAAATAGGCATACACATGGTTAAGGCTAGCCATGCTCTAATGGAGCAACCAGAACAGTAACAAGACAAGAGAGCAAATTTACGCATAGAGTAGTCTCAGAAGGGCTTTTATCTCACCCACAGAACACAAGAAAGCACTCAGGGAAGTGACTGGGTCTTGAAGGATTGGAAGCAGTTTTTTAGATATGTGAATGGAGAACCATAATCCAGGTACAAGGAATAGCATGTTTTTGATAATATCTGTGTACTCTAGAAAATAGCTAACTATGAGTAGAGAGTATAGGGGAGATGTGGAAAAAGAGTGAGGATGAAATTTTAGAATTAGGGGACAGATCAAGAAAGAGTTTATAAACCCAATCCCACAGGCAGTAGGAGCCATGGAAAGATTTGACCTCACATGGTCAGATATTCCTCCAGAGTTAACAGAAAAGATGTATTGGAAGGAGCTGGAACTGGCTTGGGCGGGGTGACTCAGTAGAGAGACTGCAGTCCAGGTGAGCAGTTCTTTTTTTTTTTTTTTTTTTTTTTTTTTTTTTAATTAAAGTTTTTTTTTTAATTCAAGACTACAGTGTAGTCTTGGTTTCCGGAGTAGAACCTGAACTCTTACATATGACATCCAGTGTTCATCCCAAAAGTGCCCTCCTGAATGCCCAGAGCCCATTTAACACATCCTCCCTCCCACCCAACTCCCCTTCAGCAACCCTCAGTTTGTTCTCTGTATTAAGAATCTCTTATGGTTTGCCTCCCTGTTTTTCTTATTTTTTCCTTCCCTTCCCCTGTGTTCATCTGTTGAGTTTCTCAAATTCCACATATGAGTGAAAAAATGTATGTCTTTCTCTGACTGACTTATTTTTATAGCATAATACTCTCTAGTTCCATCCATGTTGTTGCAAATGCAAGATTTCATTCCTTTTCATCACCAAGTAGTATTCTATACCATATCTTCTTTATCCATTCGTCAGTCGATGGACATTGGGGCTCTTTCCATAATTTGGCTATTGTTGATAATGCCGCTATATACATTGGGGTGCATGTGCCCCTTCGAATCAGTATTTTTGTATCCTTTGGGCAAACACCTAGTAGTACAATTGCTGGGTCATAGGGTAATTCTATTTTTAATTTTTTGAGGAACCTCCATACTGAAAACAGGTGAGCAGTTCTTGTGTAATAGAATAAATAAGTAGTATTTAAAAAATACGGATGCAGAAAGGTATATATGGTAATGGAAGTGGTAACCAAATGGATAAATCTAAATGAATAATGACTGCAAAACAATGATAAGGTCTTAAAGAGTTGGAAATATACAGAAAACTAAAACACAAGACTAGAGTGGCATATAAATTGGAGGAGTGGGATAAATCAAGTCATCTAAGGTTCTTCCATTAACTGGGAGGAGAATGAGTCCCAGTCAGCCCAGTAACATGAGACTTCGTAAGAGTGCACGTAAACACAGTAAAGTATGTAACTTTCAAACTGACAGAGGGAACACTAGTCTAATAAATGATAATTCAAAAGAAAGCAAAGAAAATAAAACAGGTATGACAACCAGAAAACATTTAATAATATGGTAGATGTAGACCCAAGTAAATGTTATCACATTGATTACATGCTATAATTTTTTTAGACAAAGTCTTTAAAAATCAGCTATAATCATTTTATGAGAGGCCTGAAACTTTCTCTGTCTTCATAGACAGAAGATAAGAAAAGGTACATCATGCAGACTCTAACCAAAAGCTAATGTGTAGCTATATTTTCTATATATTAAAAAAAAACTTTAACGCAAAGGTAATGTTGGAGATAGACCTTCAAATACAAGAATATATAACAACAAATTTGTATGTACATTACAGCCTCTGTGAGCATATTTAAAGCAAAAATTGATGAGAATATGTGGAGAAGTATGCAAATCCATACTCTGGGAGATTTCCATACACCTTTTGTATATGATAGACCAAGCGGACCAATATTAGTACAAATATGGGAGCCTTGAAGAAAACATTCAACCACATTGGCCAGGTGAGCAATTAATTATAGAGCAGTATACCCCAAATCACAGAACACACACTGCTTTCAGGCCCACTGGGAACATTTATGAAAACTGACCAGGACATTTGACTACAAAGTGAGCCTGAGTACCTTCTGAAGGAGTTACATGTAGACTGATCATCATATAATTAAGATAGAAATCATTAGTAACAAAAATTCCCATATATTTGGAAACTAACAAATAAACTTCTAAGTAACCCATGGGTCAGAGAAGAAATCAAAAAGGAAATTTGAAAAATATTTTGAGCTGAATGATAATGAAAACCTATATCAAAACTTGTGAGAAACAGCTAAAGTTATGCTTAGGCTCAAAATTTATAATTCTCCATGCTGTGCTAGCATTAGAAGAGAAAAAAGGCTAAAACTTATAATCCTAAATGCTAGTATCAGGAGGGAAAAAAGGCTGAAAACCAATGTTGTACACATTCATCTCAAGAAGTTAGGAAAAGAATAGTAAATTAAACCCAAAGCAAAATAATAAAGATGAAAACAGGAATTAGTGAAATAGAAAAAAAATCCAAATTTCTTATATTTTTAAAAGATATATTAAGATTAAAAAACCAAGGGAAGAATGACCAAGAAGAAAGGAAAGAGACTTGGAATGGCTAGAGTTGAAAACAACAAACCTGACATTACGAAAATGAAGGTGGGGAGTTGTGGAATGACTAGAACACTGCATTGCTGGTGGGAATGCAAAATGGTTCAGTCATTTTGGAAAGTCGGCCAGCTTCCTGTTCCCTCACCATATGTGTTAGTTTTCTACAGCTGCTATAACAAATTGCCACAAACTTATTGACTTAAAAAACACTGTATTACATTCTTGGAGGCTGGAAGGCTGACATGGGGTTCACAGGGCTAAAATCAAGGTGTGGCCAGGGATCTGTTCCTTCTGGAG